GTTATTTTGACAAATAAAATATGCAGAATTTTAAAATATTGTGCACAGAATTTTTAATTTTTTGGCTCAGAATTGCCCTAGGAGTATGCAAGTGGAGGACCTCATTGCCTTTAATGGAGCAACATACAGGTGCAGGAGTCCATCAGAATGGGTGTGTAACTGGGTTTACAAATCCCATACTGAGCATGGGCAGAAGGGAGAGGACAGTCTTCTCTGCTTGCAGGCTGACCACACCCCGACACACCTGCCAGAATTGCCAGTCAAGAAGACATGCACCCACAGTTGTGACCAATAAAGAAAACAAGCCCAGCTATAAAAGAGGGATAACAGAGAGGGAAGGGGAGGCAGAAAGGCGTTGGATAGTAGAGGGGCAACAGCCCCATTCCAGGCTGCCTCTGAGAAACTGAAAGGAAGACAAAAGAAGACTGCAAGCCATGGAGTTTAAGGGCTGATAGACTTAGTTTAAGTTAAGAGGTTATAGAGTGGTCTAATCTTGATGAATTGAAGGGGGACCAGTTAGGAGAAAGCTGGGACCCCTAGAGAGCCTTCCCCAAGAGCAGTTGACAGGGTGTCATTGCTGGATAGGGGATCTTATTAGTAAAGTCACAGCTTTGTCAGCAGAAAATAATACAAACAGTATGAGCATGCAACACAAAGAAAATGAATGTGTTCTATACATTGATTTCTGACATGCATAATAAAGTCATTTTAAAAGGGAATGTTTCAATTGTATCAATACTATAGTCCCTGTAGAATGCACTGCTACTAAATATACAGAAACTGCAGAAGGAATAAAAAATGTGGTACAGTTTTGCCATACAGAACATAGAGTTTGTCTATTGTTCTATGTATCTGTGTATATGGTATTATGTTTTTGTTAAACAGGTGATATTTAAGCCACACCGCATTTTGTATCACATGTAAGGATCACCACAGGGAGATGTTATAATTGTGTGCTATTTGTATCATAAGCACCAAAAAGATTACACAACTGATTTACTGAAGTAGGAAGGGGTTAGAGATTTGTATTAAGATTTTCTGTTTGCTTCAGCTTCCCATTCCCTCCCTGCAATATCTTGAACAAAGCAGGAATTATCTTCTTGTGCCTGTGACAGAACCTTAGCAGGTCACGTGTATTTTAATTCTCTCCCTTTAGAAGCAATCGTTATGTCTCACCCAGAGTCTGGCTTCACAAGGCTATGAACACAGGGCTAAAACTGAAGAGGAAGAAGCAAAAAAGCAAAAAGAGTTGGGAATTAAAATCCAAAACTTATTAAAATCCAACACCTTATACACTTTAAATCACAAGATCAGCATCATCACAAAGGACTGGTAAACAAAGACTAGTGCAGCATCAGACTCTTAGTACTAGGAAAAGCTGTCACTGAGCCCATTAGCAAAGAGACAGCCAAAAGGAAGGAGGATAATAGAGAGCATCGAAGCCACATACCTTTTCACAAAAAACTGTTACCTGATGAATGTACTTTATCAGATCTACATTTCATTTCATTGGTTTGCTACTAAAATCAGTAAGGCTTATGAAGGCCCATTGAACTGTGCAAACATCAAATGGTTCCATGTCAGATTTAGGGAAGGCACAGCATATTACAGCACAGAAGAAAAAGAGAAGCTATAAACAAGAACAGATGCATGAAGAACTAGTAAGTGTACGACAAAGGTGGAGGAGAATTTCAACATGGCATGTCTCTGTGTTGGTATCTCTGTGGAAGTAACTGCAGGCATACAGTAGGTCTTTCATCAGGAAATACTTCTCACCATTTCTCTTTCTTCCCTCATCTTTTGTCATTTTCTGCTGTACCATTACTTTCTGTGAAGAGCTTCTGCCTGAACTGGGCTTTTCTGATTCGTTGCTGATGACAGAACCATTCTGACTAGGCGACCTGCTGTAAGTAACCATAGCAACAAGGAAGACTGTAAGTTTCATCTGTATAAACCTCATTTCAAGGTTATTTCATTTGCACAGTTTGCATCATTGGCTTTTCAAGTCTGATTTTGTACACAAAAGAGAAAGGAAATAAGCCGCACAACAGAAACACAATGAAAGCAGAGATGCACTTACAATATTAAAAAATTACTTTTATGTAGGCTCAGTCCTGAAGAGGATTTCAGTGAAATCAGAATTGCTTATTTCTCCTGCACAAGCCCAAAAAGACACAGGAAAATAATGCAAAAGGTAAAAGAAGACATCATTTGTTTGGCATCCATTAAGCAGTTCAAATAAAGCAGATAGTTTTTAATGCCAATTATTTCATGAACATGGCTAAACAGATTCATTGCAAGCACTTTTCCCCAATTTAGTCTGCATCTGGGTTCACGGGTTTTGTCAGACAAGGCTGAAATTGGTTCCTTATTCCCAGTTCCTTAATCATGGTATCAGCTCTTTAGTCATGGCTCCCCGTTCCTTATTCAAAGGGCAAAATTATTTAAAAATAAATCAGTGTAAGATTAGATGTTTAGAAAATTCTTCAGATTAATTTTTTTATCATATTCAATCATATTACTAATTACTTAATTCTTTATTAAAGAAATGCTCAAATAAGGAACTGGGGTTGGACTGGTTGCTGTCACATCTCCACTTCCATACAGTATACAGGGCTTAAGAAGGGTTTTGATTGGCTGTTTGTACCAAAGTGCATCTTGGGTCACCCCATGTGATACAGCCCTGCGACTGTCAGCTTGTTCTGAATGATCTGAAATAAGTCTGTCCTCCAACGAAAGCTTTTGTTCCTGCATGTTGTGCTGCCAAATGGCACCCCTCTCTCCCCTCTTCCATTTTGAATATGGAGTTTGAATAAGGAGCTGGGGTTTGGTAGGCTACATGTGATAAAGTAAGTCTCAGATCATCCCAAGTGACCTGTCCCAACAACCATTAAGCTGTGATGTACCTGGGGCATGGAACTTCCTGACTTGAAACTTATTCTTTGTGAAAAATTGTGGCCCATGTCACCAGCCTTTCTCCCTCCCTCTCTCCATAGATCCCACCCACCCACCCCAGACACCCTTTAGCAGAGTAACAGGAGTGGCAAATGGGTGTTTGGAGTGTGAAGCTATGGGTCTATGCTTGCAGATAGAAGGACTTGGTGGCAGGTGTTGTATTTGTACCATCTGTTGGTTGGTTTGCATAAGTGTTGTGTGGCTGAGCTTTGGACTCCTGAACTGGCCAGCTGAGAAAGGTCTGTTTGTCTCTCAGTGAGGGCCTTGTCGGTTGGACCCTTGCGGCTTTGAACCAAACCAGTGTTTGAAGTTTGAGTGGTAATTCCCTCCCTGTTTGTGAGGGAAGAGACTGAGCAGTGATATTAGTCAACTGCCTGGCGAACAGGATCAGCAGCAAACTGGATCAGTTTCAATGAGCCTTTAGAGAGAAAATCTGATTCCTGTTTTAAGTATGGCTCTACACTACACAAGGTAGCAGATATGGATGGTGAAAGAACAATTGCTGTGACCTGTCTTGGATGTACTATGTTTTCCTTTCTGCAGGAAGGCTGAATAGATTTCTCGTGTATGAAATGCAAGCTGGTGGTGGAGAAGATACATTGACTGGAAGTACAAGCTGCAACATTGTGCAACATCTAAGAACCGAAAGACTTCTTGGACTACCAGATTCGGAAATTATTCTCACAGATGCCACAAGGGGACAGATCCTCAATAAGGGAACTGGAGAGAGTAGAAACCAAAGAAGTGGACAGGCAATTTGTAACCAAGAGGGGAAAGAGAGGCAAGTTGCATTCAACTCAAATTGAAGTATCAAAACATTTTCAGATACTGAGCAAGTCAACTACATAACAGCTGTCTCTGTAGGACTGAAACAGAAAGCTATACAGGACATACCTGAGAGGGACCCTTGCAGTATGAAATAAGCAGCAATTAAGAGAGGTTCTTCAAACCTTCTAAGAATGCAAACAATCATCACTTGTGGCTCCATATTAAGAAGAGCCAATAGAGTTCAGTAAGGGACACAAAGACAATAGGATGATGTGCCGTCTCCCTGGAGTGAGGATATGATTTATAACCATCGGATTAGACAGAATTATGAAGTTGTTTGGCAAGTCTCCACTGATGATGATGACATGGCATTACATGGAACTACACAGATTATAGAAGATTAAAAGCATCTTGGATGGGAAAGGAAAAAAAGGGAAGTCCAATTTTCTCAGAGATCCTACTGGTCCAATGAGCAGGCAAGACAGAAGGCAGAAGATACTGGAGTTGAACTGTTGGCTGCATGATGTGTGTGAGGTGGAAAGGTTTTGCTTTCTTGAACATTGGGCCACATTTCAGTGGAAGAAGAAGCTGTACATATGGAATGCCCTATATCTCATAGTAGGGGCTAATCTTTTTGGTTGGAGACCAGTTGGAGCAGCTACGAGGACATTAAACTACCAACTCAAGAGGAGGGTGATAAGGAGGCAAGTGTGATATAAATCTCAAACTGAAGGTGCGATGAACAAATTGAACTGATGTGGCAAAGAATGAGCAAAGAATAAATTTGTCAAGTGCTTATATACCAATGCAAGAAGTCTGGATAGCAGGTAAGAAGAATTAGAAATATTCATTGAAGAAAAATACATACATAACTGGCCTACTGAAACCTGGTGGCACAAGTCACATAATTAGTAATAACCTGTTTAGGAAGAATAGAGGGGGTAAAAAAGTGGGGGGGGAGGAGGCACTCTACAGTATAGAGACAAGCTTTGAGCTTACACAGAGCTCTGCTTCAAGTGGATTTTGCATATACCCAAAGCAATTAATGGATTTTTTTTGTATTAATGGGGAGAGTTAAACTCTGTGTGTGTGTTTACACAAGGGTGAGAGTCAGGAATCAAAGAGGCTTGAAAAACATCTTTAAAGAACAGCTCCTGATGAGACTTATCTTTTAGGAGCATAACACCAGCACCTACAGCTGGTACAGTGATAATCTCCTGTGTGGCATTGTGTCAGAGAATTGAAGACTTTAAAAAGGACAAGTACCATTGAGTTCATATGAACTGGATAACCTGACTCCTCTGCTCTGCAACAAACACAATGATCTGTACATAGCGTACCTCATACATCACTGACTCTAAAATCCAGAAGAATTTTAGATGAGAAGAGCAAACTGATCCTAGGAACCAAGAAAGGCTTTTTAACTAGTTTTTTCTGTTTTCGATGTATACTATCTCTGAGTAGCCTCCTCCCAGCTAATCTATTATATAGGAGACAATTACCAAAGCGAACATGTTAACATACCTTTTTTTCTGTATGTAAAAGACAGAAACTTCTAAGTTTTCTAACTCATGCTAAGTTTTCTAGGTGTTTCTGACTAAGCAAATCTGGTAGAGTGCATTGGCAAGTATAAAATAAGATGAATAAACTGAGATTTACTTTCCTACAAAGCTGCTCTGCACAAACCAAATAACCTCCCTTTAAGCAAAGACTAAAAAGCAAGGATTTTATAACTCCAGTGAAATTGATATTAACTCTAGCCTTTATTGTCACTGCTAAATTAACAGATCTATATTTACTCTATTTCCTTCAGTAGAAAATTTCAACATCAAAAATTCTCATATTCTTCCACTGTAACATGAATTTAAGTGACCCCACTCATTCACTGTGAAGGAATATGAGAAATATCTAATTTTACATAGTTTTTCAAGCACCCCAATCCATTGGATTGGAGCACTGGATACTCACTGTGTGGTTGTTGCATGTGCTCTGGACTCTGACATATAATATTATTTAAGCATTGTTTGGGGTTCTGTTCAGCCTTTAATAAAGATATGGGAGCAGATCCCTACGTGGTAAAATTTGTCAATGTAGCTATGCCAATTTACATCAACTGAGTATCTGTCCTATTGTCCATTTGTAAAATTCAGATCCAGGTTCAGATTGAGCCTTTCCAAACTTCAGATCCAGGGTTTTGGTTCAGACCCATCACTAGCTAATATGTTGTCCATTTTCCACTCATCTTTTTAACTAGTTACACATCTATGAATATGAAAATGTCTGCTAAAGCTTCACTTCATATTATCCTACTTTCTTTAGCAATCTCACATATATGATGCAAAACATTATCATATACCAGGCACTTTTGCAGAGGAACTAGATGCTTCGGGCACTGCATGGGTGCCAACCCCACTGTTGTTTCATCAACAGCCAGCAGCATCCAACCCATTCCAGCCTTCAGCTGAAGTTTGTTCAGTGCATACCTTTTTCTTGTTTCATTGGACTTGGCAGTTTTAATGGTGCTCCCATCCTGAGCAATTTCTCTCTCCTGGGAGGCAGGAGCATCTCTAACTGGAAGTGGTAGCACTACAGTCTCCTGAGTCACAGGTAAAACCTCATCTTCAGCTCCCTGCTGACCTAAATGCTGCTTGGCATAGTCAAAGCCTTGTACTGGCTGCAGAGAAGGAAAAAACAAAAACCGTGGGATTCCAACATGCATTAGATGTCAATATAATATCTTTTGCTATTACCTATTAGCATGCTGCATCACTGCCACTTATCTATATTACGGTTATGGTTGCAACTTTTAAATGTAGCACATACACTTAATTATATGCACTACAATTAAAAGTTGCAACCATAATCGTAATTTAGATAATTGGCAGTGATGCAGCATGCTAATCAGACTTTTATTCAATGTGTTTTAAACCATTAATGGATATTAAATTGTCCTTGTTTTTAGTAAGATAATTGAGAAGTCAGAACTGAATGTAAAAAAGAAAGAGGAAAAGAGGAACAAATATAATAGAGGTTTCATATCCATTATAGATTGAATTAAGTTACCAAAATAAAGATGTCATTTTTTCTTGGATACATGTGGTTGACAGAATGCTATAAACATATATGAAAGCACACTGAATGATGAGATGATGGTGCTTTTTTTGTTCCCTGAGCAATTCAATTTTACCCTCACTGTACCCCTAAAACATTCCCAGTAAAATTCCAGTAAATAACATGTCAAAATTATAAGCCTAGTGCTTGAAAAGCCTAAAGCTCCTTCAGGCTCTTCTGATGTTACTGAACATTTGAGTTATTCTGGAAAAATATCCATCCAGATTTGAACTTTACAGCTGGGCCAAAATAGTGAGTTATCCACAGTATCTTCTGCTTTGTATAAACATTTGTTCCACTTCTGTCCCTTATGGCAATAAACCAGAGACATATTTTGTAGGTATCTAAGTCTGAAAATTTTGCCATTTCTAAGGGCACGTCTTCACTACCCACCGAATCGGCGGGTAGCAATCGATCTATTGGGGATCGAATTATCGCGTCTAGTGAAGAAGTGATAAAATCGATCCCCGATGGCTCTTCCGTCGACTCTGGAAATCCACCGCGGCAAGAGGCGGAAGCGGAGTCGACGTCGGCGCGGCAGCGGTCTACTCGCCGCCGTCCTCACAGCCAGGTAAGTCGACCTAAAATACGCCACTTCAGCTACGCTATTCACGTAGCTGAAGTTGCGTATCTTAAGTCGACCCCTCCCCCCCCGTAGTGTAGACCTAGCTTAAGAAAAGATCACTTTCATTCTGTTGAAGGTGGTTTGTCACATTTTCAGTCTCCTACTTAACACTAATGCTGATTTTTTTAAGATGCATTGACGGTGATATTCATCTGATAAGCAGCTCCAGCAGAAGTACACTAAGGAGATACTAAATGGACTAGCATTGATTTGGACCAACAAAGTCTCAGCCCATTATAGCAGTGAAGCGTACACCATATCAGAAATGCTGGCCCCATTAACAACCATTGCTGGCAAAGGACAATGCTATCTCCCCCGTTGGGAGCTTTATATCTTCCCAATACTCTGAAGGGAAAGTACCAAAAAAGATGCCATTAGATCAACTTCAAGGGGGGAGGGAATGAAAAAAAGGGCAAGAAAGTCATATGAAGGACAGCTAGGGAGAAATACCATAAGCCATCCTAGACTCTAATAAACTGAGTAAAATTAATGGTTTAAAGCAGGGGTCGGCAACGTTTGGCACGTGGCTCGCCAGGGTAAGCACCCTGGCGGGCCGGGCCAGTTTTATTTACCTGCTTATGCGGCAGGTTTGGCCGATCGCGGCCCCCACTGGCCGCGGTTCGCCGTCCCGGGCCAATGGGGGCGGTGAGAAGCCGTGGCCAGCACATTGCTCGCCCGCGCTGCTTCTC